GATTTCAAACATTCAGAAAGTTTAGATAAACACTTGGTCTATATAAAATTATCATTTGAGCTCATGTAAATGTTCACGGTGTTGCAGGTACAATTGGTGCGTTAAACAAAGTTTGTCTTCACAGCTCATTCATGTGTCTTACAATTTGTTGTCTGACTAGAAGTGCTTTCAGAGTTCGGACAGGACAAAGTGATAATGCCTTGATACTTGCCTTTAGTCTTTAATACTGTAGGTCCATCTGTTGTATAAATATGCATTTGTCATTCAGACGTGATCTTGAGAGGAATTGGCCTTGCTGTTCATTCGAGTTGTGTTTTTGGCATCTGCAGTACGATAAACTGGAGTGCGCCACAATAACGACACCAGCAAAAAGAAAAAGACTAACTTTAGCTTGCTGTCCCAACACTTTGACCGTGTACATACAATAAATGTTTGAAAGTCCTTTTCAGATCTCTGAGCTATCTGAGGGGTGCTTGATTTACCACTTCAGACGCCTCAACAGTCTCAGGAGGGGAAACATCAAGGTAAAGTGAATCAAGCACCCCTTGTCTTTTTATTATTCAAGTATTTATATTGTAATAAGCTACTGTTTTTCTACGGTCTGTTTGTGACAATGGTAGCCCTGAGACGTTCAGAGGAAGAGTTCTGTCAGCGACACGCAGACATTGGTTGACTCCTAGAAACTTTTTTAATGCCAAGGAGTGTTTAGTTCATTACCAGCTAGGAGTTCGTGTCAGTGGCGCAACTCTTGTTGCTGCACGTCTCTGCCTGCAGAGCAGACCGTAGAGCATGTGAAAACAGGAACACTATCATAATGCTGCTGTTGCTCACTTGAAATTTTCTTTTCTTTGGTGTACTGTCTTGTTTTTTTGTTTTTGTTTCGTTTTTTGTTTTTTTTTACTTGACTTGAAAGTTTACATAGTTCCTTGTGATGAAGTCCATTCAGTAATCTGTACAGTTTCCAAACTGCATGGTCGTCATCAGCCTGAAAGAGGCTCTATTTGTTACTTCTTAAAAAGCGGATGGAGACAGTAATCTGAAGAGCTTACTTCCTCTCACAGTGACACCGCCGGGTTCCAGCTAACCACAGAGACACGTTTCAGCTCAGTGTGATCGATGATCGATGCTCGTCTTCCATAACAGGCTCGACTGAGGCTGCAGGTTTCAGGAAGTGTTTGGTCTTTCACCGTTTGAATTCATTGT